GGAACACATTAGGCAGTGATGTGGTGGAGGCTGACTCCATACACAGCTTCAAGTGTAGATATGATAGAGGCCGATAGGCTCAGGAACCTGTACACCAGTTGATTGACGGTTGAGAGACGGGACCAAAGAGCCAGAGCTCAACCCCCGCAAGCACAATTAGGTGAGTACACACACAAAGTCTATTTCAGTAGATAGTGTTGTTGAAGATAATGTACGTGAATAATTCAGTGCTTGTGTGTGTGTGTTTGTAAATGTTCTACTTCCATTACTACATCTTTATTGTTGGATATTACATGGGTTCGAGTCGTGTCCAGTGCTTCACTTGAAATCAAATACGGTGAAAGCGTGTGACTTCCAGTGTGGTGTCTTGATAACTAATGAAGTCAAGATGTAGTAATCTTCCTTATGCCAGCCGCCGCCAACTTGTCAGAAATTGAAGGGTGTTTTGCCGGATATTAACCCGTGACGAGCAGGAAATTGTCACTGGAAAAACCTGGGTATGAGATGGTGTGGGAGTCTTTACCTTATGGTGCTTGTGGCTAGGTGTGTCTGGCGGCCTGGTGTTGGGGGCTGGTGGTGGTGTTGGGGGTGGTGGGGGAGGGTGTGAGGTGCACTGAGGGTGGTGATGGAGGGATTAAGTTGGGCTCAAAGTGAGGGAGCGGAATGGAGAAGGAGAGGGTAGCTAGGCTTACAGGGAAGGTGTTGAACACGAGACTGGGGCTGGCAGGATGCGCCCAGAGCCCCCACTGGTTCAAGCCCCACAGTGGTCCAGGCCCCACAGTGGTCCAGGCCCCACTGTGGTCCAGGCCCCACAGTGGTCCAGGCCACACAGTGGTTCAAGCCCCACAGTGGCCCAAGCCCCACTGTGGTCCAGGCCCCACAGTGGTCCAGGCCCCACAGTGGTCCAGGCCCCACTGTGGTCCAGGCCCCACAGTGGTCCAGGCCACACAGTGGTTCAAGCCCCACAGTGGCCCAAGCCCCACTGTGGTCCAGGCCCCACAGTGGTCCAGGCCCCACAGTGGTCCAGGCCCCACAGTGGTCCAGGCCCCACAGTGGTCCAGGCCCCACAGTGGTCCAGGCCCCACAGTGGTCCAGGCCCCACAGTGGTCCAGGCCCCACAGTGGACCAAGGTAACATTGACAAACCTCCTTCACGAAAGTCTCCAGTTCATTAATCTCTGAGACAGGTGCATCTCTCACTGTCTATTACGCGGAAAAATCTCTAGAAAATATTTATCATTGTCTCTCGCTGTCTTTTTCCGTCTGTTGTGCCCTGTATATCTAGAGTGAATTGGTTTACCTGTCAGGTTACCTCTCTCTCTCTCTCTCTGTCTGTCTCTGTCTCTCTCTGTCTCTCTCTCTCTCTCTCTCTCTCTCTCTCTCTCTCTCTCTCTCTCTCTCTCTCTCTCTCTCTCTCTCTCTCTCTCTCTCTCTGTCTCTCTCTGTCTCTCTCTCTCTGTCTCTCTGTCTCTCTCTCTCTGTCTCTGTCTCTCTCTCTCTCTCTCTCTCTCTCTGTCTCTCTCTGTCTCTCTCTGTCTCTCTCTCTGTCTCTCTCTCTCTGTCTCTCTCTCTCTCTCTCTGTCTCTCTCTCTCTGTCTCTCTCTGGGTCGAGAGAGAGAGGGTGGTATAGGAGAGGTGGGTGCCCCATGTACTACAGTATTCAATAACACACATATATAATAATATATTCATGAGAGCAGCACCAGGTGGGGTTCGACCTCACGTATCCTAGCCCACACTTGCCGCAGCAGGAGTCACGTATGTAAAGTTAGTCTCAGTTTGATACAAAAATGACACAATTTCGCACACACCTGCTATTTGATATGCAAAAATATGTGTACTGTATTAATCTGTTAAGAAATAGCAAATGTTACCACCTCGTAACACATGGAAAACACTTTTGTATTGATTGTTTTCCTTTTAAAACATTCAGATGGTTGGATTTGTTATTGTGTGTGTGTGTGTGTGTGTGTGTGTGTGTGTGTTGTTTTGTGAGGCGGAGGAACAAAGTCAATATTTAGCAGCCTGTGATTGTAGCGTCCAGCCGATATATCTATAACAAGGGATTGTGTGGCGCGGGAGTTTTCAAAGGCGAGGCTTGTGTTTGTGTTGGGGGACGTGTGTGTGTGTGTGTGTGTGTTTTGTATTAATACATGAGGCACATGTGCATTAGTGCAGCTGCCCTAGACTATATGAAGTGGAGTACAGTGTGTCAAAAAAGCTAACTAGGTGATGCTAAAAAATCCCCATCACTCAGGATGGTTAGTCATACAGAGGCATGTGATGGGCAGTCTGCACTGGCAGACTCCGGATGCATTTTGAGGATATCAACAACACAAGAGTGAGGAAGATAGCAGTGGTAATACAAGTCCCCATCTCGCAGGATGGTTAGTCATACAGGGCCATGTGTTTAGTAGCCTGCACTGGCAAATTTTGGGTACACTATGAGGATATCATCATCAACACGAGAGTGAATACAGTTATTGCAAAGCTCCAGGTACCTCATGCCAACTGGTCTGAAAGGTCTAATAACTGGGCATTCAGTGATGTAGTGCGGGAGATCGTGCCGTAGTTCCTGCTCACAGAGTTTGCAACTTGAGTGCTCAGGATTGGGAGATCCGTCACCTGCAGCCATCTGCCACAGGTAACGGTAACCCAACCTGATCCTTGCAACCACTGTGTCGCACAGTCTAGTGGACGTTTTGTGCTGCCCATAGATATAGGTTTCAGATCTGAACAGATCATAGCTTTTTATACTAGTACTTTCAGGTCGTTGGGAGTCGGTAATTTCTGTCCTATCAGACCTGAGTGTTTGGACCAATACAGTTTTGGCAGCAGAGATGGGGATACCTAGATCTAATTCAACTTCATCTTTGTTACACGCTAATTTGTCTGCAATGTCTGTCTCATTATGATGGGTTATATTTATGTGTGAAGGTATCCATGTGTGTTGGGGGAGGTGGGTGTGTGTTGGTGGAGGCGGGTGTGTGTTGGTGGAGGCGGGTGTGTGTTGGGGGGAGGCAGGTGTGTGTTGGGGGCAGGCAGGTGTGTCGTAAGCGTGTATCGTCCCATGGATATAATCCCCTTGACCGATATTCACTGATTGTGAATACTCTCACTTTTGTGTTCTGTTTTGTGGTAAAACTCCACGTCTCTCTCTCTCTCTCTCTCTCTCTCTCTCTCTCTCTCTCTCTCTCTCTCTCTCTCTCTCTCTCTCTCTCTCTCCCACACCTCCTTGTTGGAAGATTAAATAACTCATAAGATGTAACTTATTTAACAAACATCTCGTTAAGTCTTGGGAAAACTTTTATAATAAATACAATAGCCTCTATAAAACATAAAAAAAGAAATGTGAATATATAGATCCCACCAATGTGTATATATAATATTCAAAATATATAATAGATTATATAATCAGGTAAATAATATATCAAAATATCCTACCGGTTAGGCTGCAAAGCGAAAATTATATCTATTTCTAAAGATGGTGTCGACAAAGACCGTTTTGTACTAGTAATTTACTAGAGGGCACGAAAATGACCTATCCTAGGTCTAGTACAGTACATATATGTACTAAAATAGGCCTAAGATTTCATATACTAGGCCTAGAAGATAGGTTCATTCCCTGTGTTCCACATTCTGGCCTGCCTTTTGTCGCGTTATAACAGAAAATGGGAACTTTTTATGGAAAACCGTCCGAATTTTTCAGCAGTTGAGATATATGTGGAATATATATATATATTGAAATATATTACGTATATTACATATTTTGAAATATATGTAATATGCTAACAAGTGCATATGCGAAAGTGTACGGTTTGCCCCAACAAATTATATATATATATATATATATATATATATATATATATATATATATATATATATATATATATATATATATATATATATTAGTATATTTTGGTAGCAGTCTTTCCTGTAGACATATATTATTAAATATTACCGAAAAAGTAAGATTAATAATTCTAACACGAATTTTCTCAATCTTTCGTACATTACGCTTCACTGTTGGAGGTAAATCAAAAATCACTTCTCCAAAATTCATTTTTATTTCTAGTCTGACGCGACACGGGCGCGTTTCGTAAAACTTATTACATTTTCAAAGACTTCACAAATACACAACTGATTAGAACTTGCGTTTCCCTGATTTTATATCTACATTTGAGTGAGGTGGGAAGGGTGATGTGGCATTACATTTCCCACCTCACCTCACCTCACTCAAATGTAATGCCACATCACCCTTCCCACCTCACTCAAATGTAGATATAAAATCAGGGAAACGCAAGTTCTAATCAGTTGTGTATTTGTGAAGTCTTTGAAAATGTAATAAGTTTTACGAAACGCGCCCGTGTCGCGTCAGACTAGAAATAAAAATGAATTTTGGAGAAGTGATTTTTGATTTACCTCCAACAGTGAAGCGTAATGTACGAAAGATTGAGAAAATTCGTGTTAGAATTATTAATCTTACTTTTTCGGTCATATTTAATAATATATATATATATATATATATATATATATATATATATATATATATATATATATATATATATATATATATATATATATGGCTGCGTCACACAATAGGTCAAGAAGGACAGATGAATCAATACACTTTTGTGAAATTAACTCCGTTAAGGAGGTTGAAAAGTGTGTTAAATTGGCGGCTTTGTTTGTTTATAATTGTCTGTAATAGGTCAGACTGACTTAACTAATTGGTTCTTGGTTCTTAACTAATACAGATTGGTTCTTAACTAATTGGTTCTAACTTGATTGGTTCTAGAACAGATTGGTTCTTAACTAATACAACGTGCAGGGCTGAGCTACAGCTCCTTGGATCCGCCTGTTATACTGTGTCATCTGATGCACACTGCTCGCTGCGAGCAGCCGCGTCCAACAGCCTGGTTGATCAGTCCGGCAACCAGGAGGCCTGGTCGACGACCGGGCCGCGGGGACGCTAAGCCCCGGAAGCACCTCAAGGTAACCTCAAGGTATGGGTCTTATATTTGATGTTATAACTGGTTCCTCATGTCCCTGTGGTTCCTCACGTCCCTGTGGTTCCTCACGTCCCTGTGGTTCCTCACGTCCCTGTGGTTCCTCACGTCCCTGTGGTTCCTCACGTCCCTGTGGTTCCTCACGTCCCTGTGGTTCCTCACGTCCCTGTGGTTCCTCACGTCCCTGTGGTTCCTCACGTCCCTGTGGTTCCTCACGTCCCTGTGGTTCCTCACGTCCCTGTGGTTCCTCACGTCCCTGTGGTTCCTCACGTCCCTGTGGTTCCTCACGTCCCTGTGGTTCCTCACGTCCCTGTGGTTCCTCACGTCCCTGTGGTTCCTCACGTCCCTGTGGTTCCTCACGTCCCTGTGGTTCCTCACGTCCCTGTGGTTCCTCACGTCCCTGTGGTTCCTCACGTCCCTGTGGTTCCTCACGTCCCTGTGGTTCCTCACGTCCCTGTGGTTCCTCACGTCCCTGTGGTTCCTCACGTCCCTGTGGTTCCTCACGTCCCTGTGGTTCCTCACGTCCCTGTGGTTCCTCACGTCCCTGTGGTTCCTCACGTCCCTGTGGTTCCTCACGTCCCTGTGGTTCCTCACGTCCCTGTGGTTCCTCACGTCCCTGTGGTTCCTCACGTCCCTGTGGTTCCTCACGTCCCTGTGGTTCCTCACGTCCCTGTGGTTCCTCACGTCCCTGTGGTTCCTCACGTCCCTGTGGTTCCTCACGTCCCTGTGGTTCCTCACGTCCCTGTGGTTCCTCACGTCCCTGTGGTTCCTCACGTCCCTGTGGTTCCTCATGTCCCTGTGGTTCCTCACGTCCCTGTGGTTCCTCACGTCCCCGTGGCTCCCCCACATCCCCGTGGCTCACCACATCCCCGTGGCTCCACACATCCCCGTGGCTCCACACATCCCCGTGGCTCCACACATCCCCGTGGCTCCACACATCCCCGTGGCTCACCACATCCCCGTGGCTCCCCCACATCCCCGTGGCTCACCACATCCCCGTGGCTCACCACATCCCCGTGGCTCCACACATCCCCGTGGCTCCACACATCCCCGTGGCTCCCCCACATCCCCGTGGCTCCACACATCCCCGTGGCTCCACACATCCCCGTGGCTCACCACATCCCCGTGGCTCCCCCACATCCCCGTGGCTCACCACATCCCCGTGGCTCACCACATCCCCGTGGCTCCACACATCCCCGTGGCTCCACACATCCCCGTGGCTCCCCCACATCCCCGTGGCTCCACACATCCCCGTGGCTCACCACATCCCCGTGGCTCCCCCACATCCCCGTGGCTCCACACATCCCCGTGGCTCCACACATCCCCGTGGCTCCCCCACATCCCCGTGGCTCCACACATCCCCGTGGCTCCCCCACATCCCCGTGGCTCCACACATCCCCGTGGCTCCCCCACATCCCCGTGGCTCCACACATCCCCGTGGCTCCACACATCCCCGTGGCTCGGGAACGTGTGCAGGTAGTCCTTGTTAGGACGGTGTGGAGCGGGAACACCTGTTGTCCGCCTCTCAATAAAACACATCAATGGTGAGAGTCAAGAATACACTTTCAAAGCACTGTCAACACTCGCTCAGACCTGCAGCTTTCACACCTGCAAACTGCAACAATGAATGGGGTGACTGATTGCATTGATCATAGATACTGGGAGAGGGAGAGAGAGAGAGAGAGAGAGGGGACGATGGAGGGGGAAAGAGAGAGAGAGTGAGAGGGAGGGTGGGAGGAGAGAGAGAGAGAGAGAGAGAGAGAGGGGACGATGGAGGGGAAAAGAGAGAGAGAGTGAGAGGGAGGGTGGGAGGGAGAGAGAGAGAGAGAGAGAGAGAGAGAGAGGGAGAGGGAGAGGGAGGGGGAAAGAGAGAGTGAGAGGGAGGGAGGGAGGGAGAGAGAAAGAGAGAGAGACAGACAGACAGACAGACAAACAGACAGACAGTGTGTGTGTACTCACCTAGTTGTGTCTGCAGGATCGATTATTGACTCTTGGATCCCGCCTTTCGAGCATCGGTTGTTTACAGCAATGACTCCTGTCCCATTTCCCTATCATACCTGGTTTTAAAATTATGAATAGTATTTGCTTCCACAACCTGTTCCTTAAGTGCATTCCATTTCCCCACTACTCTCACGCTAAAAGAAAACTTCCTAACATCTCTGAGCTGAAGAGATTCAAGAGCTCTGAGCTTCAAGAGCTGAAGACAACACCAAGAGCTGAAGACAACACCAAGAGCTGAAGACAACACCAAGAGCTAAAGACAGCACCAAGAGCTGAAGACAACACCAAGAGCTGAAGACAGCACCAAGAGCTGAAGACAGCACCAAGAGCTGAAGACAACACCAAGAGCTAAAGACAACACCAAGAGCTGAAGACAACACCAAGAGCTAAAGACAACACCAAGGACTGAAGACAGCACCAAGAGCTGAAGACAGCACCAAGAGCTGAAGACAGCACCAAGAGCTGAAGACAACACCAAGAGCTGAAGACAACACCAAGAGCTAAAGACAACACCAAGAGCTGAAGACAGCACCAAGAGCTAAAGACAACACCAAGAGCTGAAGACAGCACCAAGAGCTAAAGACAACACCAAGAGCTGAAGACAACACCAAGAGCTGAAGACAACACCAAGAGCTGAAGACAACACCAAGAGCTGAAGACAGCACCAAGAGCTAAAGACAGCACCAAGAGCTGAAGACAGCACCAAGAGCTGAAGACAGCACCAAGAGCTGAAGACAGCACCAAGAGCTGAAGACATTATGAAAACAATTCAATTCTTGTCATATCGGAGCCGCCATATATCGCCTCGCCCCGCGGCTCAGTCCCCCCTGAAATGGCGCCATATTTTATTTCCGCCAGCTGTGGTGCCCTCGTCACGTACTACAGTGGCCATGTGTCCGTGGCAGGGGACTGAGACACACACATGACCGTGGCAGGGGACTGAGACACACACATGACCGTGGCAGGGGACTGAGACACACACATGACCGTGGCAGGGGACTGAGACACACACATGACCGTGGCAGGGGACTGAGACACACACATGACCGTGGCAGGGGACTGAGACACACACATGACCGTGGCAGGGGACTGTGACACACACATGACCGTGACAGGGGACTGAGACACACACATGACCGTGGCAGGGGACTGTGACCACTGGTCTGTTGACATATACTGTAAGAGTTACAAGTCAGAATGGTCCGTTCAGTTGCAAAATTTTATTTCAGAATTCCACCCATTTTTTGAACAGGTGACGACTTGTGTCTTAGAGTACAGGGGGATATACGCACGCGCGCGCGCGCGTGTGTGTGTGTGTGTGTGTGTGTGTGTGTGTGTGTGTGTGTGTGTGTGTTTACTAGTTGTGTTTTTGCGGGGGTTGAGCTTTGCTCTTTCGGCCCGCCTCTCAACTGTCAATCAACTGTTTACTAACTAACTACTACCTTTTTTTTTTTTTTTTTTTTTTTTTTTTTTTTTCTTACCACACACACACACACCAGGAAGCAGCCCGTGACAGCTGACTAACTCCCAGGTACCTATTTACTGCTAGGTAACAGGGGCACTTAGGGTGAAAGAAACTTTGCCCATTTGTTTCTGCCTCGTGCGGGAATCGAACCCGCGCCACAGAATTACGAGTCCTGCGCGCTATCCACCAGGCTACGAGGCCCCCTGAGTGTGTGTGTGTGCGTGCGTGCGTGTGTGTGTGTGTGTGTGTGTGTGTGTGTGTGTGTGTGTGTGTGTGTGTGTGTGTGTGTGTGTGCTTGCGTGCGTGCGTGCGTGCGTTACACACTGGAGGTTATCACGGTAAAGGACATTTGCATAAAATGAAAGTAAACAAGGGAGAGGAAAGTGTGTGTTGGGCCGAGCAGCTGGGAAGATAGAGCACACTCCCTCTCCTACACCAGGCTCATCCCTGCCCTCTACACCAGGCTCATCCCTGGCCTCTACACCAGGCTCATCCCTGGCCTCTACACCAGGCTCATCCCTGCCCTCTACACCAGGCTCATCCCTGCCCTCTACACCAGGCTCATCCCTGGCCTCTACACCAGGCTCATCCCTGGCCTCTACACCAGGCTCATCCCTGGCCTCTACACCAGGCTCATCCCTGCCCTCTACACCAGGCTCATCCCTGGCCTCTACACCAGGCTCATCCCTGCCCTCTACACCAGGCTCATCCCTGGCCTCTACACCAGGCTCATCCCTGGCCTCTACACCAGGCTCATCCTGGCCTCTACACCAGGCTCATCCCTGGCCTCTACACCAGGCTCATCCCTGCCCTCTACACCAGGCTCATCCCTGGCCTCTACACCAGGCTCATCCCTGCCCTCTACACCAGGCTCATCCCTGCCCTCTACACCAGGCTCATCCCTGGCCTCTACACGAGGCTCATCCCTGGCCTCTACACCAGGCTCATCCCTGGCCTCAACACCAGGCTCATCCCTGCCCTCTACACCAGGCTCATCCCTGGCCTCTACACCAGGCTCATCCCTGGCCTCTACACCAGGCTCATCCCTGGCCTCTACACCAGGCTCATCCCTGCCCTCTACACCAGGCTCATCCCTGCCCTCTACACCAGGCTCATCCCTGCCCTCTACACCTCTCCTACACCAGGCTCATCCCTGGCCTCTACACCTCTCCTACACCAGGCTCATCCCTGCCCTCTACACCTCTCCTACACCAGGCTCATCCCTGCCCTCTACACCTCTCCTACACCAGGCTCATCCCTGGCCTCTACACCTCTCCTACACCAGGCTCATCCCTGGCCTCTACACCTCTCCTACACCAGGCTCATCCCTGCCCTCTACACCAGGCTCATCCCTGCCCTCTACACCAGGCTCATCCCTGCCCTCTACACCAGGCTCATCCCTGCCCTCTACACCAGGCTCATCCCTGCCCTCTACACCAGGCTCATCCCTGGCCTCTACACCAGGCTCATCCCTGGCCTCTACACCAGGCTCATCCCTGCCCTCTACACCAGGCTCATCCCTGCCCTCTACACCAGGCTCATCCCTGCCCTCTACACCAGGCTCATCCCTGGCCTCTACACCAGGCTCATCCCTGCCCTCTACACCAGGCTCATCCCTGCCCTC